TTGTGATTTGCAGACATGCTACCTGGTTTTAAATTTCGTTGTTCCTAATCTGTTGATAGTACAGCATGATATAAATTTATTCTTTCCTTATGATAAGAATCTACCAAGGAAATATGAGTAGTGTCTACAACAGACGTCATTGACTGCACTTCTTTTACTGGAAGGAAGGGAGGGAGGGAGGAAGGAAGGAAGGAAGGCAGGCAGGCCTATTTCTAGCATGGAGCAGTGTCTGACACAGGGCACTCAATCAATAAACGTGCTGGAAGAACTAAAAGAAGTATTTCCCGTGTTCTCACTGAGCCTTTTCCTTTTTAATAAGCAGCATCATGTTAGGTTCATCATTAATGGAAGAGGCTGCAATGGTTTATTTTTGAGCAAAAGCGATCTCACTGGAACCCATGAATTAATAGTAGAGACACTAAAAAATGGATAGCTTCTTTGATTTCCAGATTTTTTTTTGAAATTTTTGTCAGGGGAACAAACATATTATCTTTTTTGGTAGAAACAGCCTACAAATTATTCTAAATATAAACAGTATTTACTCTGAGCCTCCCAGTGAAGCCGTCTCTGATGAGCCCAACATGGACTTTGTCCCCCTTGAGTTCTGAAAACGCGTAGGATGTGGCACCTGCCTGCCAGCTCCCCACACACCTTTAGTCATTTAGCCTCTCAGTGGCTCAGGTTTGCCTTCCTCGGTGTGGCTCTCCTTCCTCCTCCTCATGGTGAGGGTCAGAGAGATAATGGCCGTCACTGCACCCTACACAGCACCTACCCACTGTCCGTTATCCCCATTGCTCACGAGAGCCGAACCTTGCAAGAGGCCTCTGACTCCTCTGAGTGGATTTTCTCTGTTAGCAAACGGGGCATGTCAGTTGCTCACCTCCGCTCGCCGGGATTGCATCACCTCGAGAAGCTGTGCCCGGGTGGTTTATTTTTAGTTTTCTAGTTTTAAAAATCTCCGGAGAAGGAACTCTAAAATGTTCTCCCATAACTTTACTGTTTAACAGCACAACTGTCTAACAAATACCTTAGGAAAGGAAAGGAGCCTCAGAAATTTGCACCATGCACTGACCTACATAAAGAATAACCTCACCCCTACAGATTGCAGCGCCCGTGCGTGCCGGTGAGCTAATAGGATGCCGAGCTAATTAGAAGTGCTGTCTGGTTTTCCAGGCTAAAGGGCTGAAGGAAACTTTATTTTTCAATGATCCTTGGATTGCCTTCAGGATGAAGTCTGAAGTAGGAAAGCCACTGGCCACTTCTTGAATCTATAACTTTATGTTGACTCCCAGTGTAAGATGGAAGATGGTGCACAGACATCTCCCCCCTTCGACTGCGAGCATGTGTAAGTGATAGAAAAATAATAATTAACATAGCTGCCCTCGAAACAACAGCAGGAGTTCTTCAAATACCTGCAAGGGAAATGTGTGCTCGAAAGAAGGAATAGGTAAAAACCTACAGCAGGAAGAAGCACAAATTTCTGTCACCCTAAGACATAGACGCTGAAGTCAGGCGCAGCAGGAGAGGCTGGAATGCTGGTGCTTATGGGAGGCCAGAGGCGGACAGCGGCCCCTGCCTTGAAACTAGGTTCACGGTCAGAGGGCCTCACATCACATGACCCATTTGGGTCAAAGGGCTCTAGCCCAAATGGCCATGGAAGGCCTAATAGAGAGCATAGTCTCAAAACTGCCCAGGAATGTTTTCGAGACCCCCCAACAGGAAGATCTCAGGACCCAGCACACTGGACTGGAAGCTTAGAATCAAGAACACAAGGCACCCCAGAAAACATCCCACTGTGAAACAGACACCAACCAAACACAAAAACTGAAAGCCAAGAAATTTAAATCAATAGAGAAAACAGAAAGAGTATTTTAGATTTCTAAAGGAATTTTCAATATGATAAAGAGCTTGAAACTATAAAATAAGAGTAGGCAATCTTGGAAAAAGCACTATGTAGGAATATTAGAAATTAAAATATAATTATCTTAAATTTAAAAAATTAATAACTGGATGAAAGAACAATCTAGACATACAAAAGAAAACATTGGTAAATGGCAGATTGAACTGAAGAAATCGTGCCAATGCTCCCAGAGACGTGAAAAGGTGGAAGATTCAAAAGCGAACGCTGGTGGTGTGGAGGTGGACCCCGCAGCTCCCATGCAGCCTAGGGGGGTTCTGGAAGGAGGATGAACAACGGAGAATCAATACTGAGTGGGGTAGTTACTGGTGAGATTCCTGATGGGAAGAAGGTATTCTAAACCTGAAAAAATATCACTGCCTGTTAAGCAGGATTTTTAAAGAAAATCCACCAGTGGACATTTTTCTAATGGAATTTCCGAATATCAAATATAATGAGAGAATCTACCTTCCTCTCTAGCGGTTTCCTGTTCACGCTTTCTGCTGCACCAACACGAACCATGCTCACAGTTTCCTGAAAATACCACACCCACCAACGCCTCCACACCCCTGCGGTCTTCCCAGCTTGAATGCTCTTCTGTCTCTTGTATCTTGGCCAGCAGGTTCTTTCCTCAAGAAAGTCTTTCCAGAATTCCTTCCAGTTTCTTATTCCCTGGTCCCCTTAGATGTGAGCGTGGTGGGCCCTGCTGCTCTCGGCCCCATTGCTGCTGTCTGTGGTCATTCACTTGACCTTGGCTCCCACGGCCCTGTGAGCGTGCTACAGTCAGGTATAAAGTCTTCCAGTTTTGATTCTTTGGGGCTCAGCGTGGCTCACGAAATGTGGCAGTTACTTGTCCAATGATTTGGGGAATGAATCAAGCCATAAGCCAATGAATTAGCGAGGTGATAGTTGGAAGTGCAAATGAGCCATCTAGGTCTAGGAGGCCCGCAGTGAGCCCCTTACGTGGCAGAGCTAATTACTGACAGGGCCAAGTTCCCTGGCGTGAACAGAGCACTTATATAACAGTATACATCATAACGCCTCCACCACAAACAGTCCCTATATAAAAATCTTGCATGTTTTTAAAATATCTTTTAAAACCAAATAAAGTAACAGTTTTAAAAACAAAACACATTTATAAAAAAATTTTTCAGAAAGTGAATAAATTGCCTTTCCGTCTTTTATTTCCAAAATTTGTTTTAATGGCAGTCTTATATTCTTTTCTTATTAGGCACATGGATAACCTCAAAATATGATGCTAGAATCAGCCTTGAATAGTGACGTTTAATCACATAACATTTCCATTTTAATGTGATTATCTTCTGACCATATACTTATCACAGTACAACTGGATTAGATCAATATCTAGTAATCTTTAAAATTCTCACTCATTGTCTGGCACGTGGAAATGCATCATGTTTGAAGCTGTATGTCTTTTCCAGGGCTGCTTCCATCGTGTGTAGAACTTTCCTAGAGGAAAGAACTTGGCTTGGTTTAACATGCTGTGTTCAGCACCTGGGACAGCTCCACACATACTCATGCCCCACAATGAGGCCACCTCAAATCACATTATTCCGTAATTTTCAAAAGACTTTTATGCATATTAATCCTATTTGATATTCAAGAAATCCATCAATGCACAAAGGCATACCTAACTTTTCTGATAGCTTTAGCAATCTATTGACAACCATAGAGGCCAAAAGGAAGAAACGAAAAGTGACATAATAAAATCTATGAGCTAGTGTTCTAGAAGCAGCTTTGGGTATTTCATTGAGAAATTATTAATCCCTATTTCATTATGCAATTCTAACAGCATTTCTTGCTGTTTTCCTAACCTGCCACAGATTTTTAAACAGAGAATTAAAACAGGCAAATGGTCCTGTTGAGGTCAACCACAGTGATAGCCCAAGAAGTGTATGTAACAGCCAGAAATTGAAAAGAGAAACAGACAGAAAAATGCAGAAACACAGCAGCCCAGAGCCCCTTAATGTGGTGCACACAGAGCCACGCACGCGTAGTAGCACTGAGATTGCCCTGCACAGCAGCACAACGGGACGCTGAGGAAGTGAGGACTGGGAGTCTTCAAAAGCTGTGTGGGGGTGTTTAGCATCTTCTGCGTACAAGGGCAGAGAAGCAAGCAAGCGTTCTAGGTGGACGGTGTCCATCAGAAATGGTCAGGTTGATATTAAGAGTTCTTATTAGTATAACAGAAGTGAGGGTGGTGTAATGCACTGCCTACGGGTGTCTTATCTGTTAGCTTAGGCTCACGGGTCAGACCTCTGGACAGCCCTTTGTCTTTCCAAAGTAGATAAATGGATTTTTGTGCCTCTAATGGAGAGAGCTTCTTCCAAGAGATAGCCAAAACCCCAGAAGCTTTGACCTCTGGAAATAGGATAAAAGCTTCCAGATTTTTAAAGTCTCATCCACTAGTGCAATTAACTAAACAGCTCCTCTTGGGATGAACATTAGTTTAATGCCTTCATAGGCTTGTCCCAGGTGCTTACTCCTAAGCATAGTAACCAAGATCAGGCAGGGCAGAACCTGGTAATTTGTAGCAGATATTTGGGGTATGGTCCTGTCTGAACCTGAACTAACCCACAACCCAGAGATAGCCAGGGACAGGTGAAGCTTATGGAGAATAAATACCTAGGAAATATTTTATATGTCTTTGAATTCCCAGCACCCAATGCTGCCTATAGTTAGTAGCATTTAATGAGTGCTTAGTGGATGATTGACTACAGGACACAATTGAGATCCATTCCAGACATTTGTACCTTCTTCTCTTGACGATTCCCACCTTGCTCATAAATCAATCTTGAAACAATTATCCACTTCTATACCTGAGAAATATGATCATTTGTGTGTTGCAAGTGTGAGGAGGGGGAATGATGACATTTTACCGAATCTTGATCTCCTTACCATAGTTTTTGATAGTTTAATTAAAAACAAAAAGCAAGACTGGCTTTAGTTCACCAGTCACTTACAGGTATTGTATGCTTTGCCATATGCACTATTTTTGAAGGACAATCAGAATGTTTATGGTCCTCCCCTTTGCCAATTAAAAAAAAAAAGTTTAACTATTTGCCTTGTTTTTTTTTTCTAGCTGAAGATAATAGTCTGTCTCAAAAGAAGAAGGTCACTGTGGAAGATCTCTTCAGTGAAGATTTCAAAATTCATGACCCCGAGGCTAAGTGGATAAGTGGTGAGTCCCAGGCCCTTCGTGCACGTGGGAAATAGCTTCCCCAGGCCCCTGCCGCTTCGATAGTTGGGGTTCAGTAGTTTGCCTCTCAGATGCTCTCTGGCTGTGGAAGGGGATACACAGAGCTTTTGCTGTGACGATCATCAGACTGCCATTCTAAGAAAATGTGTATCTGGTAAAATCTGGCTCCTTTCTTCATGGTGTTGCGTCACAGGCATCAGTGCGGCATTTGCTTCATGAGCAATGGGTCTGCTGAGGACGCTTCCTCCGTGCCACCCCTGGAGACGCGTTTCTCAGAGGGAGATGTGAGATGTTGCTAAGCAACAGGGACAGTGGAGGCCTCGCCAAGTGTTCCCTCCTTCTCCAGGGTCTTTGTTCTCTTTGTGCTCTTGCTTTCTCTTTCCACCAGAGAGAGAAACAAAAGTAACTCAAAGGACTCTTTTAGAGCAGTGCCAAGTGAACAGGGGAGCCCCGTGCACAGACGCAGATAAATGCATTTTCCCTCTTGAACTCAAATCTGGATTAAATTACTTTTCTTGCTTGGGTTTTGTTTGTTTTTAAACAACGGAACAAAATATAATTGAGGGCAGAAGGCATATGTTCATAATGCCTATTTTGGTTCATAAACACTGTGTCCTCCAATTGGATCTGAAATAATTTGAGTGCGTTCACGGGAGAAGCGACGTCAATGCCCGCTCACCCGTCCTCTGCAGCCGTTGTTGCTGGCGCCTCTCCTGCCATCTCCATTGCTGTTGTTTACATGTAGTTTTCATGTCAGTCAAATGCACTTGAAAATTTATTCTCGGGTCAGAGAAGCTTTGTAGTGGGATGCTTGAGGTCTAGTTCAAATCCCTGCTTTTATAATAAGTGGGATCCAGGCAGGTTAAGTGACTTTTGTGAGGTCACAGAGCTGGTAGTGGCGCAGCTGTGGCTCGAAGCCTGTCTCCCGACTTCCAATCCGGTGCCCTTTCCACATCTTGTTTAGTTGAGTGACACAGGACCATTGTGGTTTTTGGCATCAAACTGCTTCTGAAATGCTTTTCATGCTTCACAAACTCTCAAAAATCAATTAACGATGACTCTTTACCATGAGTCGCTGCTCAAAGCAGCAGCTTCTCTTTTGTCCTCTCCGATGGCTTCAGCAGTAATGTCTGACCCTTAGATTAGCTTATTCAAAATGGAAAAAGTAGATGGATCTCAGAGGGAACGTGGTGTATAAATCGGGACTAACGAGAGTAGTACATTGTGAATAACAACGGGGGGCACACAAAATCCAAAAAATAGACAGCCCTGGTCTTTTCGCTTGATGGAGGAACTGATTTTACCTTTTGTTCGGGGGCTGACTTGGTGTCTGCTGAGTGTTTGTGTTTACCCGTTGCATAGGCAGATGCAGCACCTACGGCAGGCTCTGGGCCAGGCCTTGGGAATAAAACAGGATTACTCTCCTTAAGGAGCTCAAAGTCTGTTCTGGAGACAAAACAGTGAGCAACCAATGGGAATCCTGACACAAGATGCGCAGAAGAGGAACGTGATGTTCCAGTTCCTCCTGAGAAGGCAGCTCAGAGACAGAAGATAAACTCAGTCTGCATGGATGGTCAGGGTTTCTTTTAGAGAAGGCAGAAAATAGACCCCTGGAAAAACATAAGGCTCAAATATGAGTCTGTGCTAAACCCTGGTTGGGATAACCAAGGGTGAGCTGAAAGACAATATCTAGGGATGAAAAAGAAAAATAAAACAAAACACAAGCTGGTGGAGAGGCAGAATCTGGGGATAGATAAGGAGGCCAGAAACTGGGGACACTGAACCGGAGCGCTAGGGCTCACGGGAGGTTGGAGCAGGGCCTGGGGAGACTCCTGAAACGATACGAGTCTGTATTTTTTATTAGGGCGCCCACGGTTTCAGACTTGCCATCAGTCGGCATTCTGTATGCCAAAAATAAAAAGTGAGAACAGAGACGCAGACCCCCGAGAACACACGCGTCTCTGGGAGAGCTGCCACGCAAAAGCGCGAGAAGAGTGAGATTATAAGAGAAAAAGAGCAGACACACCACAGACACGCGCGCGCTCTCGCCACAGAAAAAAACACACAGGGCCTCTACATACACAGCACTGGGAGTCAGCACAAGCAATTGAGAAGTAGCCGCGTGCCCAGCAGAAAATGCCCAGCCTGCCTGTCTTGGCAGGTTCCATCTATTCACGGAGACCACCTACAGTCTGAATCCACGTGCCCTTGGTGCTCGCGAGCTTTCTTAGGATGCTTCTTGCTTTGTGAATGTCCACACTGAATGCGAAGTTTCGCTGTGAAGTGACCAGATGCTCAGGTCTCCCCAGAGAGCGAACTCCATTTGGAGGGAGTGGGAACCTCATCATTTCCCCACACGTTAGTTTCAGCTTCCCCCTGCTTTTCTTTTATTTCTTCCCCTTCCTGACCATCCCTTTGTTCTTGCTCCCTAAAGATATGGCAGCTTAAAGTGAGTGTAGTAACTGCGATGAGGACTGAGCCTTTGAACTGGCTTTTGATGAGTAGTGTACAGAGTTCACTCATCACTCATCTGTTTACACCACAAGTCTAAGCGTCAAGATCCAGGAAAAGATCACTCCAGATTCATAGGATCATCTCACGCTGTAGAGCTGGGGTGAGCATTAGAAATTATTAGAACATCCATTCGTTCAGTAAGAGTTTACTGCGTGCCAACAATGTCACAGCTGATTACCGGGCCAGAGAGGGGGAGTGGTTTGTCCATGGAACTATTTCTTAGTGGTAGACATGGGAGTGTCAGCCCACCACGCCCATCTACCACCACCACAAGGTCCTCCTCCTCCTCCTACTCCTCTCCTTCTCATCTTTGTCACCATCATCCTCATCACCATCATCCTCATCACCATCACCATCATCACGATCACATCATCTCACCATCACATCATCATCACCATCACATCATCATCATCACATCATCATCATCACCATCACCATCATCATCACCATCACATCATCATCACCATCACCATCACCATCACCATCATCACCATCACCATCATCACCATCACCATCATCATCATCACCATCACATCATCATCACCATCATCACCATCACCATCACCATCACCATCATCACCATCACCATCACATCACCATCACCATCATCACCATCACAACATCACCATCATCACATCATCACACCATCACCATCATCACCATCACCATCATCATCATCACCATCACATCATCATCACCATCATCACCATCACCATCATCACCATCACATCACCATCATCACATCATCACCATCACCAGCACCATCATCACATCATCATCATCACCATCATCACATCATCACCATCACCATCATCATCATCACCATCACCATCATCACCATCACATCATCATCACCGTCATCACCATCACCATCACCATCACCATCATCATCATCACCATCACATCATCATCACCATCATCACCATCACCATCACCATCACCATCATCACCATCACATCACCATCATCACATCACCATCATCACCATCACCATCATCACCATCACATCACCATCATCACATCATCACCATCACCAGCACCATCATCACATCATCATCATCACCATCATCATCATCATCACCATCACATCATCATCATCACCATCACCATCATCGTCATCACCATCATCACCATCACTATCATCACCATCACATCACCGTCACCATCGTCATCATCACCATCACATCTTCATCATCATCACCATCACATCATCATCTTCATCATCATCATATCATTATCTTCATCATCATCATAATCAGCATCATCATCATCACATCATCATTATCATCACATCATCATCACATCATAATCTTTGTCATCATCTTCATCATCTTCATTATCACCACCATCATCGCCATCAACATCATGACCATCATCATCATCACCATCATCATCTTCATCACCATCATCATTATTATCATCACTGTCATCATCTACTGGGTGTTTATTATGTCTTAAGCAAAGTGCTTTATATATATTAAGACATTTAATTCTTAATATATATAAGAACTACCATTATTCCCATTTTACAGATGAGGAAATTGAGGCTTAGGATTTTAAATGACTTGATCACTATCGCATGAATAGTAAGCAGCGAAATTCAGAGTTGAACCTAGTTCTCTCTGGTTTTTATAAACTACGCTGCATTGGATAGAATCCAGGTCTCCTGTCTCTTGCCAGTTTCTTTTGGAACCTCACTGGCTACATGTGAGGTTTAACCAAGATTATAGGTTGCGAATATTTCAGAATTACTGCCAGCCTTTAAGTTCTTTATTCTAGCTTTCTTATTCCCATAATGCCTATGTCAAAGTAACAAAATACCCAAGTGGTAAAGAAAATTGGTGTTATTCTCTTCAGAGGAAGAGTTTTGATTTTTTTAGTAAACATTAACCACTAAAGTTAACAAATGTACCTTGGGTTTAATATTGGAGTTAATAGTCTGGAACTAACACACTTTATTTATCAGCAGAAAATGTGTTGGGTTGGAGTGACCCTTCCCCTGTTTTTATATACATAGGCTAAATTTTTTAATTTACCTTTTCTGAAAAGAATTGGTATAACAGCCTTTAAATTCTCTAATAACCTAAAGCCCCTGCAGACTTCCCTCCCACGTTTGTTATAACCACGGGAGAAGCCAAACGCGGTGTGTGAAATAGTGGCACTAATGACATCCAAAGGCTCAGTCCGAGCTCCCTCTCGAAGAGGCGTAGTCTCTCCATATATTTGCTTCATTGAGTAGTCTCTTACACCTGCCGTAATAACCATCTTGTAGCTCTCCACCGTTTGGAAGCCTTTGAGTGCCTTTCTGGGATTCCATGGCACGGGGCGGCTGCTGTGATGAGGCATTTTGGTTACTTTTGGTTATTTGCACAGACCAATCCTCATGGCTCTCCACGCCCATTCATTCTTCCCCATTCTTCTATGATGGGCAGTTTCAAACCCTATCATTTCTCCTCAACCCTCAAACTG